CAAATGGACCTGGACGTTGTTCACCGGAACCATCATATCTACCATAGTATTTACCACCACGGTCAGATCGAACGGTTTTAATTCTTTTGCCTAATTGATTTTCAACTTCGGCCTTATAAGATTTGAACACATCTATTGATTGAGACTTTTCATGAATGAGATAAAGGTAACCATAACGAGAGTAATCATCTATGAATGTGATAAAATATGTTTGACCATTTCTACATGGTGTAGGGAATGGTCCACAAATGTCTGTATATATCAATTCTAATAGATCTGAAGCTCTCTCGGCACTTAATCTCCTTTTGTTCGTTTGTTTTCCCTTAACACACTCAACACAAATATCCGAATTTGAGGAGTCAAGAGAATCAAGAATTCCATCGGACACAAGTCTCTGAATTCTTTCTTTAGAAATATGTCCTAAACGCTTGTGCCAAAGTGATAATGAATTCTCATTGGTTAATTTTCTTTTAGTACCACGAGTACTTACATGTAAGGTTTCATTATATGAGGCAATTATATCAAGTGAATATAGATTATCATAAACTGATAAAAGACCGGTACCAATAAGCTTTGAATCTTGAAATAGACTGAACTGACTATTTCCAAATGAACAAGAATAACCAAATTTGTCCAACGCAGAAATAGAAATTAAATTCCGTCTAAATGACGGTACAACAAATGTCTCTTTCAAATCCAAATAAAAACCAGTCTTTAATAATAATCTAAAAACACCGATAGCCTCAACTTCAACCCGCTTGCCATCACCGACATAGATGTATCTTTCACCATCAATTGGTTTTCGGCAGCTCAGGCAATCCTGCATGGATACACTTATGTGAGTAGTAGCACCGGAATCTACCCACCAAGTGTCCTTGGGTACCGAAATTAAATTAACCTCAGAACAAACAAGAGCAAGAGACATACCCTTTTTCGCACGCCAAGCGTGGTACTTAGTGCAGTCCTTTTTCTTGTGATTAGTCCCTTTGCAAAAGAAGCATCCAGATTCCTTAGTTTCTTCCTTAGTTGCCTTATGATGCTTTCTTTGAGGCCCTGAATTTACAGCTTCCTTAAATTTCCTTTTCTTGCTGCCCTTAGAGGTAGATACCAAATGAGCACTTTCAGTCTTATCTTGCTTTATTCTCTCTTCCTCTTGAACACAATGAGAAATTAGCTCATTGAGAGACCATTTCTCCTTAATACAGTTGTAACTGACTTTAAATTGATTAAATTGATAAGGAAGAGAGATCAAAACTAAATACACAAGCAATTCCTCAGGTAAAATGAGCTTAAGTGCACTTAGTTTTGAAGCAATATGAGACATTTCCAAAATGTACTCCCTTATGTTCCCTTTGCCTTTGTACTTCATGGAAACAAGAGTGCTCAAAAGAGTACTAGTTTCCGCCTTTTCGTTTTTAGCAAAACGCTTTCAAGTTCGGCAAGGAACGATTTGGCATCATCCTCATCAGACATAGTGCCCCTGAATGATTCTGGAATTGCACGTTTCATGATCATCAGACTCATGCGGTTTGAGCGTTCCCACCTCTCCATCTCCCTCTTTTCATCAAGGGTAGATGAGTCCTTAAGAGCGGCGGGTTTCTCAGTCCGGAGTGCAAGGTCTAGATCCATGCAACCGAGAACAATCATAACGTTCTCTTTCCATTCCTTAAAATTCGTGCCATTAAGCACAGGGATGCTATTAATATTAGCAGATATTGTAGCAGCAGAATTGTTGACTGGAAGAGAACAAAAATAATATAAGTTATATGCTCTAAAAAACTGAAATAATCTTGATAATTAGTTTTAAATTTAAATATTAGCAATCCCCATCACAAGATACCTAGCGCAACATCTAATCTTGTCTTTGGACATAAATTAGACTTGCAAGTGGTACTCTTGGTGTAATAATAAAATTTTGATAATAAAATCATGTCAAATACTAAGACTTTCTTTGGACCGACTTAATATTCACATGAAAACCTCATAATTATCACAAATTTTATTATCACAAATGTACTCAAATTTCGGCTAAATAATAACCTTCCTTTGGGCCGATTATCATCCGCATGAAATAAGAAGTACACAATCATCTTAATATATGAGTTAATTAATTTCAACAAGAGAGGCAACTTTGGCAGCATGTTGTGTCAATTAACCAACCCAAATATTAGACATGCTAATATTAAATCAAATATCTGAAAAGTTAAATTGGGCAAATTTTCCTGAGTCACATTCAAATGTGTTATGTATGACGATAAATTGTAAAATCCGTACCCGCAAAATAGAGTTTATACATCCATAACACATAATACATATTTTTCATCTCACAAAACACGATGATGAACAAAATAATCAATACTGTAATATCCAAATTATGTATTTTTGACAAAATTGCTGTTGACCGTAATTACATATAAGTATTTAATTACCATAACCGGTAATAATCACATATATGTACTTAATTACCAAAATTTCAATAAACCGAATCACCGAAAAGGGGAAACATATCAAAATTTAATTTGATACACATATACTTCAGCAGACTCATAAAAGTATTCCAAATCAAGAACAAAATACGTAGGCTAGATGGCTAATTCCTTAAATAGTAAATTATGATCGATTATGAGTCAATTCAGCCACATCCAAAAAAATACGTACTATTCTAAAAAATAATAATACTCCGTATGAAGTGCTCTAGGGATTACCAGTTTATCATTGACTGAAATCAACACCTTGGAGAATTCAATCGCAAGGTTGATTTCACATCGAGTAAAAAACAAAATAATAACAAAAATTAACTAAAAACAAAGACATAATTACGGCGCACTTCAGGAATATCGGCAATACAATATCATCTATTACCGACTGATAATAAGAAATAACAATTTAAACATAATCGATCGTTCGGCACGAAGTACACAGAATTAAACAAAATTGTTGATTCCACTTATTCCATACTGTATCGCAATTGCGATTTGAAATAAGCAGAAACACTGACTCCAAATAATTCAATATGAAGGAGGCTCTGATACCAATTGTTGGAATAAATCCGATAATACTTTAATCTTCATATTGGAATTATCTAGAGAACTAACTGAGCGGAAGCGTACCTGACTCCATTGGAGATGATCTTTAGAGATTCGGGAGACGGAGCCTAGGGTTTGCGTCTTCTAGTTGATACACACCCTCGGGAATTATCTCTCTAGCGATGGGATGCAGAAAGACAGAATGGCGTGTGTACCTAGGGACCATAACCCCTCTATTTATAGAGAATGCTTAACCCTAATCAGCCCATCATTAATTAGGTTAAGCCCATGGGTTTCTACACAATTGGGCCATATACCTTATTAGATAACTTATTAGCCCACTTAAATTAATATCCATAGGACCACTAATTTTGGGCTAAATATAAGATAGCATATAACATACAATTAACCCAATAAATAATATATTGTTAATATCATATGTAGTATAAGTCCAATAATCTAACAGGATAATCATGTAATTGGTAACACCTTTCAACTGAGTTACCTTGGTAGTCATAGTGAGTACTATCTATATTGACAGTAGAGTTCTTGACAGATTGGTTGGAAATAATATTAGAATAGGTGTCAAACAGCTTTGATATTCTCATAATGAACTACTCCGTATGAGATAGTCTTTCTCACATTAGATGCACATAACTATTGAAAGAAGAAAATAATAACATTCTTATTTTAAAAATCATACTATATATGTAGTATACTTTTAGCTTATTTAGAGTTTTTTTTAATATTATTACTGTGAACAATGATAATAGTGGTACAAAAGAGCACCTCCAATACTTCAATACTATTATTACTATGAACAATGACAATATTATTTAGAGTTTTTTTTTAATATTATTACTGTGAACAATGATAATACTGATAATATTTTAAGAGCACCTCCAATACTTCAATGTGCACGGTGCACATGTGGCATGAGAGATAGGCACAAAAGATTGATTTTATGACATTTCTCTCTCCTTCTTTTCACGGTCGTATGTATTTTTGGTAAATTTTTCTCTGCAATGTCTACCACAATGTCTACATCTAGACATGGTGTTTGACATTGTGAAGAAAAACTTACCAAAATGATGCAAGATCCTTCAAATAAGGAGATAGATATTCTATTTAGGAAAAATTGATAGTAATAATCCCAACTATTGGTGGTCCGCTCATAATAATCCCAACTATCGATTATTTCAGAATAATCCCAACTTTAGGGACCTTCCGCCAATAATGGTCCGACGTGACCCGCTATAAATAAATTCATATAAATTCTAAAGTGGATGAGAAGAGATATAACAAGTACTCCCTATAAATAATCTCAACTTTTAATTTTTACGCTTAATTTCTATTTGAAATCACTTGTTACCTGGTCTGCTGGTCATGGACCATTATTGGCGGATGGTTCATATAGTTGAGATTATACAAAAATAATCAATAGTTGGGAATTATTGTTAGCGGACCGGCAATAGTTGAGATTATTATTTTCAATTTTTCCTTCTATTTATTGTTTTTATAAGTGACTATCTCTCATTCCACATATGCAATGTTAACGTTTTAGTAATAATAATAATAAGAGGGCATTGCATGTTCATCTTTGGTTCGAAGTTGGGAAAAAATGACAAGTAGTCAAGCATAACAATTTCTCCGTAATAAATAAAAGATGTAAATGTAACGAAACAAAATGGGTCTAACTTTGTCGAAGGATCATTGGGTTGGGCGATTATGATAGCTACATACACCGATACAATGGATATATATGTGAAAAACGTTTTGTTGAAATTTACACATACATTCCTTTGAATAGCTTCAAACAACAAACAATCTAAATCCGGTCAAATAAATTTAAGATTTAACCAAAGAAATTGCTAGTGAATACAAATGGCAAAAAGAATATAATTGAATCTTTGAGAGACACTAGTCTCGACTAATAGGAACTCTACTCCAAAAGCGATATTAATATTTATCAATAATTGATATAATATCAAACAATAATAATAAATTCGTACATAACGACAACTTGTGTTGTTCTGGCATAAATAAGTTGGACTTTATAAAAGTAAATAATGTTCGTGCGTGTAGTTTAACTAATTAATAGGCTGTGCAAATGTAAATTTGAGCTCAATTATTCTAATAACTCTATACATCCATATATTGTAAAACACATTGTAATTACAATTTAATTTAATCCTTCAACTGTTGTCTTCATTAGTTCTGTAGCTTTTTACTCGGAATTCATTTTATGTACTCCCCCGCTTGAATGGTTGGATTAATCTATTTGTGCCATACTGGGCCCTATTTCGGCCCACTTAAGCTCTTGTAGCTTCACTGTGCTTGGGTAGCCCATGCAGCAAAACCCAAGCTGCCCAGCATTTTGTATGTACCTGTCACAATTATTATATATTAAAAAACCACCAGATTATGTAATTGAATTTATATAATTCATTGCTGAGTTGATCGTTGGGTAATAGCGCAGCATTGCCCAGCCCAACCTAGCATTTTTTTTGCCAAACCCAGCATATATGCAAAACATATATATGTTATGCGAAATTGTACACTCATCATTTTTACCTTGATTCAAATATTCAATAATGGTTTTATCGAGTAAAAATATGGGTTTTAAATGAAAAATAAAAAGAAAACATAGTTTTTCAAAAATTTAAAACATCAAGAATGAAAATAAATACGGAGTACTACTTTTAGCTTGTTACTATTAGTGACACCTGCTAGCAACACTCACTTTATGTGAATGTCTTTTATATGTTGCCGCTGTCAAAAGAGAGGGAGAGCATCAATATAAAATTTAAAAATTCAGACCCAGACCCTTAGCTAACACTATATTTCTGGCTCCTTGACTACACCTTGGTGACTAGTATTAAAAGTTAAGGGTATATTTGATACAATTAGTTGAAAAGGTATTTTTATGAACATTTTTGAAATTGTTAACTTTTAGTGACTGATAAGATCCAAAAAAAAGGTAGTAGATGTTTGATAAAAAGATGCATGTTTGATTTCATTCTGTTTGATATACAAGTTGTTGGGAGTAATTGATGCTAAAAGCTACAGACTTATCAGAGATGCTATTCACGGTAGCATCTCAAAAAAGATCTTTTACTTTTATAGCTCTTAAAAAATGGCATGTCAATCATGCAACTAAAAGCTTATATAGACTTTTTAAATACTACAAAAGTTAGAAGGCAGGGACTTATGTGTGCCAAACATTCAAACATAGTCTAAATGAAACAGGTTAGAGCTCCTTTAGATACCCATGTTTTCGGATTATCGACCATTTTTTCATCAATCATGTAACTTTTGTTTTTTTGCGCTGAATTTTGAAATTATCAAATAAATAAGGTTGAAATTACTTTTCTGACAGAGGAAGATTTATTTATTTTATAAATATTTTTTCCTTATGTTATTAATACAAGGAAATCATTTTCAACCATAAAATGATTTTGAATATTTTTTTCATAATTCAACAAGAAGATTTATTTATTTATTATTATTTTTCTTTATGTTATTAATATAAGGTTGAAATCGTTGCAGATTAATTTTGTTTTCCTAAAATAATACATTTTTAATATTTTTTCATAATTCAACAGATTCAACTATAATTTAATCATTTTCAGGAAAATCAACAGATTCGCCAATATAAGTGTTATCAAATGAGCCATAAATGTCTTCAAGAACACATGATCAGTTATTAAGAGCAGTATTTGATAATCTTTTTTGAAAAATATAGGTAGTGGCACAGGGCGTCAAGCACTCAAGCCAAATATTAGGTAAAAGATAAATACTATAGGTACTCCATTTTAGATAACCCATTTGAATCCCTACTTGTGTGCTTCACAAAAACAATTTATAAAAATGGGGCAATGAGTTTAAAAAATGGCTTTTGTGAATCACACAAATGGTAATGTACAAATAGGGTACTCAACATGGGTACTCTAGGTAAAATTCGTTTGAAATGTAGTAGGTGAAGTGTACCTTGGGTGGAACCTTCTACCTAAACAAGAGACACATTTTCTGCCCTGAGACATCTCTCCCATTCCGATCCGCATGCACGCTCTACAATAAACTCTTCCACACACCTACGACGGTTAATTCCACGATTATTATAATTTTAAGTTCTAAAATCTATAACCACAATAATTAAGAAGTGTTAAAATTTCTAGATTCAGTATTTTAATCTGAACCTTTTCCCATGACAAATAGGCCTAGAGATCAGAGTAATATACTTCCTCCGTTCTTAAATAAGTGCAACAATCAACATTTCACATTTACCCCGCACAACTTTGACCATAAATATATATATAATTCTATATTAGTAAAAAAAATTAAAAAATCAGTTTTGAAAATTTACTATAAGACAAATTTTAATAATATATTTTTCAAAAAAAATATTAATACATCAATAAATAAAATATAATCAAAGTAGAACATGTGATTAGTGTAAAATTTCACATATTGCACTTATTTAAGAACGGAGGTAGTACTCCATATTATATTCCACCCGTATGTGAATCCATATCCGACACTTCAATTCCTAGTTCCGATTAGTTGTTTCAATTGAGTTGGGGAATTACAAAGTAATTTTTTTAAAGCAGCAGTATCATTAAAGGTATATGACCTATGATAATTCACTTTTATAAAGGTCCAAGTAAATTAAATTGTTAAAGGTAGTCGAAAGTTTTATTACCTAGCTATGACAATTTCAAACCCGAAAAAGAGAGGTGATGATGGATTACAAAACCTTTATCCTTGATATTTCATCTTCTACGGTTTACCTTTGGTGAAGTATTCTTACATGTATTCTTAAATAGTGCTCCTCATGAAAAGGATTGGTAAAGTTGAAAAATCAAAACATTGAAAAAGTAACAACAAATTCATTCGTATTCCCTCTATAAATTAAGAGTTTGTTTGGTAGCACGAAAATCGGCTGTTTTGGCTGATTCTGTTGAAATTTATGAAGTTCTGGCTGAAGTGGCTGCATTGACTGATTCTGGTGATTTAAGAAAAATTGTCTTTAAAATATATATTATTAATAAAATAAAGATAAAATTATATGTAAAAATAGCTAAATTGGTCATCTACAGTAACTTCAACCAATACAGCCAGAAAAATAACTCCAATCTTACTTTTCCTGCTTATTACACAATTCAGCGCGCGACAACAAAAATTATGTGTTTGGTGAAAAAGCTCGTTGATAAGCCTAATAAGCCGAAAACAGTGTTACCAAACGGTCTCTAAAACTTATTCAAATTATAATATTATGAAAAATTGATATATTAATTATGTGTATAAAATGAAACTATATAACGAAATAAGTTGACTTTGCAAATCAAGTTGGGACGGTGGTAATAGTCTATATATGCTCCTTACCTATTACCAGTGGCGTATCCAGAAAAGTTGGCGAGTGGGGGCAAACTTGACTACAATTTAATCTCATATTTCACAAATAACAAATCACATTATTAATATTGTTTGATTAAATTTAGTTTATAATATTTATGTACAAGTATGAATAAAAAGAAGATTAATTTATATTACGGGTGTGTAAAGATGTAATTGCAGATAAAATGTAATAAATTTACTTAAATATAAGTTAAACAGTCTGAAACATAACAAAATTTAGTGAATTTTTTAGCCTTTCATTCTTTTAATATTAAAGAAAACACTTCTAATCCTATTTTAGAATTTTTTTCTAAATTTAACTCTTAATTTGAGCAATTTCTTGTAAAAATTTGGACATATATATAGGGGTTGGGTTGGGGTTGAGTGGGGGCAGCTGCCCCCGCTGCCCCCATAGTGGATACGCCACTGCCTATTACTCCATATATACTTGTAGTACAGGTATTTTTGTATTACAGTTGTACTCCATTTCACATGATGTTTGTAATTATTCACTCCGCCTCAGTTTAAACATTTCAATTGCCATTTTTAAACATTCTAGCTGAAATAACAAACAATCTTAATTGACAAATTGATCATTATTAAATATTAAAAATAAAACACCGCAAAATCACTTATTATCAATAACATCGTTACGTTATATCAATCAAAAGTACTTCCAAAAATATACTCAAATACCTTATTTAATTATTATCTATATATAGGTGTGTCATTTTAATTAAAGTTGGGACGGAAGTAGTATAAATTAACTTTGCTAACTTTTCAGAATATGCCTTAATCTAGAGCAAAAGTTCACGCCAGTGCCACATGACGCTGTTATTTGGTGTAATTAATTTAAGTTTGATCTGGCTTGATGAAATGTGATTAGATTTCATGGTGAAATATTTTAGCTAAGCCCAATTAACTAGTACTCGTATAACACAACTCATAGAAGCTAAATAAAACCTGAAAACTTACCAAACAGCGGTGCCGGAAAAAGTAGATATAGGTTCGACAGAGAGTGCATCTATTCGAATGAGGAGTCCCCGGCCGGAAGCTGCTTTTGCATGACTTAGACTTTTTCATAACAACCCCGCCGCTTTCCACCGCAGTACGCGGTGGTTGCCGCGTCGGCGCAACCTCCACCACGTCTTGTTGGGGCTCCTCCTCCTCCTTTGCCGTCGCAACAAGAAGGTGGTTGAAGCTAAGGTTGACAGATTCATCTGGAACGCCCACATACATTTCTTGTAGCTCTCTTTTTGCTTCTTCCACACTTCGGCCTTTTCGCAAATCCCCCATTAAGCTAGTTATTAATATCTTAATTGAAAGAATTAATAACAATTAACAATAATGTGGAGATCGGGAGATAAATTAACTTAGAAGTGGGTTAACCGGAAAACATATTTTGTATGGATCAAGTATACATAATTTTATGGGAACATTTATATATGTAGCTCGTGAGCAGGGAATGGAAAGGTCAAGCATGTACGTGCGGACCACGGCCACAATGCCCAAGGATCATAATAATGAATTAATGATGCTCTTCGTCTTGTATGATTGAAAATTTGTACCTTTTTATATTTTAGTACTCGTATTATTATGCCACTTTGATGTGTGATGATGGATGTGATTGAATTTGTCCCTAAAGAGATTATTCCTATGATGACTTGATGATCAATGTCTATATGTGCATACTTTTTGTATGTAAAAGTGTTTAGAAGCGGTTTGGCAACCTTCTTTTTTTGGCTGATCAGCCAATTTTCTCATCAAACACGTAATTTTACTTTCGCGCGATGAATTGTTAAATAAACAAAAACAGTAAGGTTGGGGTTACTTTTCTGGATATATTCGCTGAAGTTACTGTAGATGATTATTGAGTCAATTCCCTAAATAGGACTAAAAAGTGGAAAAATTGCACAAATAGGACTACATTTTTTAAATTCCCTTAATAGGACTATTTATGTGTGTTTGGACAAATATACCCTTGTAACTTGTGAAATGTTTTAATTAATAATAAAATCATAAAAAAATTAATAAAAATCGAAAAAAATACTAAAAATCGTAAAAAAATAATAGAAAATTAATAAAATTATTTTTTTAAAAAAATAAAAAAAATATTTTTTTAAAAAAATAAAAAAAAATAAAAAAATAATCATAAAATTAAAAAAAAAAACACATTACCACCCCTGCCACCCCCAACACCACCATCTCCCATCACCGGACAAAAATATGCCAACATTTTAAATAATGCCATAATGATGGCATAATCAATGAAAATGTTGGCATATCGAAGAGTAATTATGCCATCTTTTTGGCATTTTCAGAAAAATATGGCATTTTTTATCAAAAGTGGAAGAAATTTCACCAATCGAAGGTGGTGGTGCTGGGAGGCGGCGGGAGGCGGTGAGAAAGGTATCCATAATTTTTTTCATTTTTTATGGGTTTTTACTATTTTTTATTATTTTTTAAAAAAAATTAAAAAAATAAAAAATTAAATTTTTTATTTTATAAATGTTTTTTAATTTTTTTTTTTTAATTTTTTTACCTTTTTTAAATATTTGTTTACGTTTTTTGTGATTTTATTATGAATTAAAGCATTTCATTATGAATTAATACTCTTAGGGGTATTTAGGGTAGAAAATCAATGTTTAGTCCTATTTAGGGAATTTTAAAAATAGTAGTCCTATTTGTGCTTTTTAGGAACTTTTTAGTCCTATTTAGGACAATTTCCGATGATTATTTTAGCTATTTTTACATTTAACTTTTTCATTTTTTCATTCATAAAATATATTCTAAAAATAATTTACAGTTAATTATTAAAGTTAAGTTATCAAAATGTATGCATTAAGTCAAGTTAATTTAGAAGGTAGCCATTTTAACAACATACATTTACTAAAATGCCCTTAATATTTCTTCATAAATGGATTTCCGGTTAAAATGTGCCGAAGTTATAGTTGTGGTCAGATGGATGATGATGATGGTGAATTGAAGGGAAAAAGATCACGTGCTAAATGTGATTAAATTGAAAGTCAAGAGGAAAATGTGGACATGGCATAATAGTCATGGGATCAAAAGTGGTTTTTTTTGTATTATACTCCGTACATAACTTAAATTACAATATATACCTAAATTTCTTCATAGATGTGCATGCATATGATTTCTTGAAGTATTTCTTACAATCGGTAAGATATGAAGTTACAATCTAATGCACGGAGTATTAAATTCTGCAGCTACACTGCTAATATCAAGGTGACCTATATATATTTATGGAACTATTAGTCATTAAATTGGTTTATTTGTATATATAATTTTTTATATCATCTTCCTACCAAGCATGTCGTATTTGAATATCATCCTTTAACTAATACTCCTTTCGTCCTAATATTATCTTCTATTTTGACTTTTCACACATACTAAGAAAATGAAAAATGTATGGCCCAAATTTGTGCATATAATAGGAGAGAAAAATTGAGGATAGATGTTAGGGATAAAAGATTCTCTACCAAAAAGAGAAAAATGAATTAATATTGGGACGGACAAAAAAGGAGAAAATGCAGATTATATTGATGTACATGGGTACTTGATGTATTTATTTATTTTTTAAAAAAATCATGTAACTATTTACAGATAACGAACCACTTTTTTTATTGAGAATTTACTGTGCATCCACCCGTCCCTTTAGATTTTATTTATTGTGAATAAATTTAAAACTAAATTTAATTCGAAATTTATTTCATAGAGTATTATTTTCATATGTGTGTATGTGTGTGTTTAATTACAAAATTATTGCTAACAAAAGCATTCTCAATAATTACTCAATCACAGAACTTAACAAAAAATGTGTTACAACTAAATAGATAATCTCATGTCTCCAATCTTTTATACTTTTTCATAAACCTTTTTGATAGAGTATATGGTCCCGGGCCCCATGATCCACATACTCAGAAGGTCAAAATACACCAGAGGGACACCCACGTGGTGCCCTTTGGCCTAGTGGGTTCTGCAACGGCCAAAAGGTGAATTGGCCCAGAACACTGCCCGGAGGCCAAGTGGACCTCATCGGCCGTAGACCGCATCGTCCAGAGGACCACGTCGGCCAAAGGACATCACATAGGCCAAGAATTATCCTGGCAGAATGTACTTTCATACTTTATTTACTAATTATTTGTACCCAGCCCATTAGTGGCCTTATTTCGCCCAAAGAAGGCACGGTTATTGTAATTAGCTTCCTGAGCCCAAGGCTAGGAGCCCAAATCCACATTTTTACCTATAAATAGCCCCCTAGGGGGTAGTTATAGGGGGTTGAGAAATACTCCCTCCGTCCCGAAAACAACTTCCCACTTTCCTTAAATGGATGTCCCAAAATTAACTTCACACTTCAATATTTTCCTTATTTGGCAAATTATTTACATCAAAAAAGTGATAAACAGTGCCAAATAGTGTTTAAACAGTGCCAAACAGTGTTTAAACAGTGCCAAACAGTGCATTCTACAGTAAAGTCAAATTTATTTCCTAAAAGTGTGTGAAAGTCCAACCGGGAAGTTGTTTTCGGGACGGAGGGAGTATTAATTACTCACTTTCTCTCTCTAGCTCTCACTTCTCCCTAGAACTAAATACTCTATCATTTGTTGCTTTCATTGAGAGCTTGAACAGATCAAGTGAGTACCCTTCGTCGCTACCATGCACAACTAACAAAAATGGGAAGAGCTAATTAAGTCAAAGAATCCCACCGGCAGAACCATCCTCGGGACCTAAGAGAATGAGGAGAGGTCGGGCGATGACGCTCTCAACAACTTTGTGGCTGAGGAGGGGAACGTCCAGGAGGCCGAGAGCCCAGCTGACGACCTCCGCAACCATCTCAACAAAGACTGCTCAGGACGCCCGCATCGGGCTTGAGGACAAACGCACTGCTGATCGCGCTTCGAGCCAACAGGCTACTCCCCCTATTGCCTCCCAACTTCAGGCTGCACTATCATCCATTGTCGCCAACCTGATCCGGGACCGCAACATCCTGAGCACTCTCGTCGCGAAGACTGGGGAGAACAATACTCCCAAGACAGGGGAGGTCGCAATGGTCCCACCGCCACCTCCGCCACCTCCCCTCGTCACCTTCTACGGCAACGACGAAAACGTCGTCGATGCGGACACTCACTCTCATACTGCTTCTCCGCCCTAGGATGAGCCGACGAAAGCACGTGGTAAGATCTCGCCCTTCAATAAGCTGGGTGACACGAGACATCGGCCACCTATGGGGAGGATGGCGGATCGGTTGGGTGGCCGTGAACCTCTCTCACCCAGGGAGAGCCTCAGGTCGATCTCCAAGACAACGGAACGGCCCCGTCTGAACAAAGGAAAAGGCAAGCTGCATGAGGATGACGCACGTCATCAGATCAATCAAGCCCATGCAGCCAGGGCCCAACCCCAGCAAGGTACCATAGCGGCCACCAGGGACCCCAGGGACGAAATCATCGCCCGCCTCGAGAAGCGCATCGCCGACATGGAGGCCCGGGAGGCCGCGGGGATCGCAGCGGCCCGCGTGGTCCACACCCCCCCCCCCACCAAACTATGCCACTCTCCTGAACAAGGTCAGCGCTCTGGAAAGGGAGTTGGCCGAAAGGCATGATGAACCCATCATCCAGGTTAGGATGAGGACCCCTTTCACATCAAGGGTGCTCTCCGCCCCCATCCCTGAGAAATACAAAGGGAACCCCATCAAACCCTATGATGGCCGTACCGAACCGCAGGAGCACTTCACCCGCTATCACAATAACATGCTGATGACCAACGCCTCGGATGAGTACATCTGTCGCTGGTTCCTATCCACCCTGGAAGGGCAACATACTATTGGTTCAACACACTTCCAGAAGGAAGCGTGGACTCATGGTAGGATCTGGCACAACGCTTCCTCACCCACTTCACCTGAAGAAAGCGCGTGAAGAAGCATTTCGCCCACCTCCTCACCGTCAAACAAAAGCCGGAAGAAACGCTTTGCACCTTTTTGGAGCGTTGGACGAAGGAGGTGGATGAATCTGAGGGAGCCGACGAACGCACCCTTTTGGCCTTCCTACGAGGGGCGCTCCGGACCAGTACCTTTGTTCGAAGATTATTCACCGAGCCGCCACGGTCATACGCCGCGGCGCTTCGGCGCGGAGGCTTGCTTGCAGACGCCGACGAACTATTGAGCCGGAAGAAAGACGGGGAGAGACCGCCGAAGAAGAAAAATGACTACTCGGCCAATCCCCCCAGTGCGTCGGCCCCCAAAGATCAAAACCAGCGCAAGAAGGCACACCCAGAATCAGGCGGCCAACGAAAGGACGATCGCTCATGGCATCCAAGATTGGAGGTACAACGGATCCCCCTCACCCATCCAGTGAGCGTCATCCTCGATTATGC